TAATGTGAGGTTTCCAGGATAACCTATGGTCAAAGAGGAGGCCCAGAAACCTATCACGTTCAGGGATACGGGAGCCATAGAGGTACAAAGGATGATCGGAGATGACAGAGCGTCTAGTGAAAGTAATTTGGTGAGTTTTGGTACTGGAAAATTTAAACCCATGGGTGGTGGCCCAATTGGAAACACGGTCGACCGCATGCTGGAGAGAAACTGTAATGAGGTGACAGTCAGCGCCTGCACAGGCAATAGCGAAGTCATCAACATAGAGTGATGACCAAATATTGGATGGAAGACTAGAGGCCAAATCATTTATAGCAAGGAGAAAGTGTTGTGCTCAGAACACATCCCTGGGGGACACCTTCATCTTGGATAAAGTCCGGGGAGAGCACATTATTAACCCGAACACGGAAATGTCTGTCAGTTAAAAAGCTCTTAAGGAAGGATGGTAGATTGCCTCGGAGGCCTAAGGAGTGGGCTTGGGCCAAAATATTATACCTCCAAGTTGTGTCATATGCCTTCTCAAGGTCAAATATGGCAATAACCGAGTGGTTATTCGCAAAGGCATTACGAACATATGTATCCAAGCGTAGTAAGGGGTCTATGGTAGAACGGCCCATACGAAAGCCATATTGACGAGTGGAGAGACTGTTGTGTGTCTCTAAATACCACACTGAACATCTATTTACCAGGCGTTCCATCACTTTGCAAACTGCACTGGTAAGAGTAATGGGACGATAGTGGGAGGCTTCATGTCACGTAGTGCCCGGTTTGCGGAAAGGGAGAACAATGGCAGATTTCCACAGCTGTGGAAGAACTCCTTGTGACCAAATAAGATTGAAAAGGCGTATTAGGACTGCAAGGGCTGACTGATGTAAATGTTGTAGCATACGAATATGAATGTCGTCGGGCCCAGCTGCCGATGATCTGCAAGCTGAGTGTGTTGCCTCCAGTTCTTGAAGTGTAAAAGGCACATTATACTGTTCTTCTGAGAAATCCAAGGGTGCTAACTCTCTGGCAGATTTGAGGAAAGAAATGAGGGGCATAGATGGAGCCCCTGAGAAATACGGACCAGATGATTGCCAATTTCATTAGCAACATCTAGTGAGTTTGCTATATCAACACCGGCAACCCGCAGAACAGGAGCATATTTACCACTCAGTTTTCGTACTTTTTTCCAGACTGCACTCAGAGGAAGCAGAGGTGATGGTGGAGACAATCTCGCCAGCAAGTGTGTTTAGCGTCACGGATGAAACGGCGAGCGATTGCACGCTTCTGCTTAAAATCAAGAAGTCTCTCCGTGGTTCTATTGTACCGGTACCTGCCCCACGCAGCGCGTTTCAAACGTACTGCACGAGCACAAGCAGGAGACCACCAAGGCACGCATTTCTGAGAATGCCTGCCCGAAGTTTGGGGTATAGAATGAGAAGCTGCGGTTAAAACGGAGGACAAGAAGAGGTGTAAAAGCTCATCAATGGAGGACGCAGAAGGAACCTCACTAAAAACAGTTAGTTGTGAGTAAAGGTTCCAATTTGCCTGATCAAATTGCCAGAGTGGGATATGAAGGGGAAGTAAGAATGATTGGGAAATGATCGCTGTCATGTAAATCCGGGAGAACAGACCAGGTGAAGTCTAATGCGGCGGAGAAAGAGCAGACTGAGAGATCGATGCAAGAGAGAGTGAGTCCGAGGATCAAAATGGGTGCGAGTACCTATATTTAAAACATGGAGTGGGTGGGTAGCAAGAAAAGCCTCTAACTGAATGCCACGGGAATCACAGTGAGACCCCCCAGAGGAAATGATGGGCATTAAAATCGCCAAGTAACAGAAGCGGTGGCGGTAATGACGAAACAAGAAAGGCAGTATCTGGAATAGATAATGCCCGAGGAGGAGAGATATATAAAGAACAGAGCGTATACCACCTATGCAAGTGGATACGGGCTGCTGTGTAATGCAGCGAAGTACGAACAAATAGCTGATGGTATGGATTATCAGTGCGTAGAAGGGCACTTTCATTAAAGGTCCCATCAGGAAAAGGATCTGAAGAATACAATAAATTATAGCCTGAGATGGGATAGATAACAGCAGAGTATAATTTTGGTTCCTGTAAGCAAACACCAACAGGGGAAAACTGGGAGAGTAACATCTGAAGCTCACCCCGATTACCTGAGGCCGCGTATATTCCACTGTAAATAGGCCATGATTGGCAACGATAAAGATACCTGAAATCCGCAGGTAAGGGTTCCTACGGACCAGAGGGGTTAGAAAAGTCCTACATGCGGAGGCAGCGGAAAACGTTCAAGCAGTGAAGGAACAGTGTGCTGCGAAGAAAGGAGTTGCGCAGATGGAGGAGAGGAGAGAGAAGGAACAGAGGGTGGATCAGTGTCCATTGATGGTTTGATCTATGCAATATATTCAGAGATTGCTTCAAGTGTTTCGGAATTCAGAGACGTCGTATGGGAGACAATATTGGAGATGGTAGGGGAAGGATGTAGTAAAGATTGGAACTGTAATGGACTGTACCAAGGTAGGGGGGAGGCAAAAGGGTGGAGGGAACTGGAGAAGCATGGAAGGGGACAGAAGAGGCAGAAACCTGGGAGGTGGCAGAAGAGGAAGAAACTTGGGAGGGAACAGGGGAGGAAGGTATAGTACAAGGAGGAAGGGTGAACCTCTACACTTCTAACAGAGCCAGTGAGAGGGGAAAAACCAGGTACAGAGACAGGGAAGGTAAAATGAGGAGGTGGAAGAAGGGAAGGAGGGGTTAAAGGACCTTTTTTTGACTTCTGAGAAGTAGAGGGACGATTGGTAGGAGGTTCTGACGAGATCTCGTCGATACCAAGGCTTGTGAGGGAGAACACGAAGAAGCGAGAACAGACTGAGGCGTTGAAGTAGGGACGTCTGAGCCCAGGACAGCAAAAGAATGAGATACGTGAGTGACTATGGGAGAGGTAACCACAGAGGAGGCTGCAGAAGATGGGACCGCAGAAGTGGGGGGACGTTTTGAAACACGGGAATAAGAAACACGAGGTAGTCTCCCTTGGAGGCGGAGATGAGAAACTGCCATGGCATAAGGGAGACCTTCTGCCTCTGAGGTAACGGATTTCCCGCTCATTTAAGTCGACTTGGCAAAGGCGAGAGTACGAAGGGTGGGCCTCATGACAATTAAGGCAAGAGGGAGGTCGATTGCAAGACGTATTAGAATGGTCATCGGCACCACAGACTGGGCATTCGGCGATAGATCTGCAATATTTCGCTGGATGGCCAAATCGCCAGCAATTTCTACACTGTTGCGGTGTAGGGATCACCTTTCGAACTTGTAACCTATGTCCTGCTACATAAACTGAGGATGGGAGTTCACGGCTGTCAAAAGTTAAACGAGCCACATTGCTAGGGTATCGTCTCCGCCTGCGGGCAGGAAGAACGTAAGTGTCTACCTTGAGGATTGGGAGATCTTGAAGTTCCAGCTGTTCAAGAATGTCATTGCCACATGTCTGGAAATTTTGTTGAACTATGGTATGGGGCAGAATGACAGTACCACTACAAAAATTGAGGGAATGATGTTTTTCAATAGTTACAGGAACAGTATCGATATGGGAAAGAAGAGAAAGATCATGAGCTTGGGTAGCATTCTGTACAGTGATGATGCGTGTACCACTCTTAAGAGCATGAAAAGAAATATCTTTACCAACATGGCGTAGGAGTGCCTTGCCAACACTATGGTCGGAAAGATAGATAATAGAGGAAGTCGGTCGTAAAGTGAAGAATTTAGTCCATTGTGCATTCTGAAACTGAGCGTGGAAAGGGAGTGCAGGACGTGTCGATCTTTTCTGAGAAGAATGAGAAGGTGGAGAAGTATCTTCAGCAGGTAATTGTCGTTGGCATTTAGGAGTGGGACCACAGTTGGTCCGACGTGGAACGGGCCGGCGATTCAAAAATTGCCGCACCGTAGAGGGAGAGGCCGGAAGCATAGTCAAAGGAGAGCGGAGGTCAGATAAATCGAAGGAGTCAGTCGAGACCTCAGTACCTGAAGCGGGTGAGGAAACAGCACCGGCAAGAGGTACAGAGGCATTAGGAGTGTCCGAAGAGTGGTCCAAAGACGAGGCGGGGTCAGAACGGGGTGCGGTATCAAGAACGTGCCCGGGGGTAGCAAGTTCATGGACTATGGCTTCCATGGTTAGGTTACTTTTTTTTTTTCCTTGAAAATAAGAAAATAAAAATAAAAAAGGGGGGGACTGAGGAGGGATAGTTCCTGGGAGGAATGAGAGGGCCAGAAATCTCCCTCCGCACCCAAGAGGACCTCAGCACCGCAAGTAGTGCAGATGCAGCATGGAACCCGTGCCATACCCTACCCATCATGCCAGTAAACCAGCAATCCGGGATAGGAACCTCACATCTGCCGAGCTACCTCAGTGGACAAGAGAGGGCGGCCAGATATCCGCCACAAAGCACACCTCCTTTGGCCACCACCCCTGGAATCCGAAAGGCAGCCTCCAGAGATACACCCGTCACCCGAAAGATACCCAAAGCCACTCCCTGGGAGACCGGAGGGGGATTAGGACATCCCCAGGCGATCCAGATTCCACAGCAAACTACACCACTGCCAAGAACCTCAACGGAATGGGATGGAATCCAGTACCCTTTCCCCTACCCAGGAACTAGCATGCCTGTGGGAAAAAAAAAAAAAAAAAAAAAAGAGGAAGGGTAATAGGGAGGGGTGGGGAGGAGGAGGAGGAAAAGAAAAAGGGAGGATGGGATAAGGGAGGGGGGATTGGGGGGTAATTAGGTTTGGTCTGAGGAGGGAGACCAACAGGTCTAATTCCTCAGACCAAGAGCCTCTTCACCATGCCAAGGAACCCCCTTGAAGAGGAATACCTGACCAACCGGGCTATGGTTGGTACATTTCATTGCATGCAGTTGGCAGTAGCTGCCTGGTCGTGGACCGGGCCGCAGGGGCATTGATCACTGGAACCCTTCAGGTAGACTCCAGGTAAGACAAAGAAAGAACATTTATAATTAATTTATTGCAAAAGCTAAGTGAATTACATTCACACCCACTTACACTCAAGTTTAATAAAACTCACTTAGACAGGAATATGTACAGTGTTTCGGAGCTGTTATAATAATGCAAGTTATTGCATAGATTAATGACACTGCATCATCTATGAATACACTTTATAATAAAATACAGCTTTTCATAAAACAAGTTCCCTTATATCAATATCTTAAAAAATTTAACTGCAGTTCACATATTAGATGCAAATATGAAGAGCTTCTGATAAGATCAATACAGCTTATTACTAAGCTGGTTTTCAGAAGAAATAATTCAGTGAATGAAATGTGATGCCAATATGACATACTGCAATAAATTTAAACCTAATTAACAATTGGATAATTTGACTTATGCAATGCTCTCCCTGTGGCTAGTCTACTTGTACAAAAAAAAAAAAAAAAAATTCAATGGTGCAGGATTATATACATGTAAAAGATTTAAAGCTATAATGTATGTTATATATACTGTAGAAGCTCCCAAATCAAAATTAACTCAAAGCAAATTAGTGTAACTTCTCACAATCAAGTTTTCAGCAATACCAAAAATGAATAAGGCAAAAACTAAAAAATTTTCATTCGAGTGCTTGTACAGCACATCTAAGAAAGATGTGCATAACCATTACTGACTACATATACAGTATATACAATTCAAATGCTGCAATATGTCAATGAAAACAAGAGTAATTAAGATGTACATCATTAAGGCAAGAATAGTGGTAAACTGAGTTTTAATGACACCTGGGTAAAAACTGACGTACTTTGTATTTCTTACTGTAGCTATGGAAAATGTTTCTTTTTGGGGTTACCCTGCCTCGGTAGAAGATGGGCAGTGTTGAAAAAATATACCTATTTTATATTATGCATAATAGCCTTGATACATTTGCTTCTATTTTGTTTCATATATACATAAACTAATATGTCAAAAGTTCATCGCAAATCGACTTGTTACTCTCGATTAAAAGAAAATCTATTTTCTAAAAATCTTGGTGCCTTTCAGGCTATGTTTCCTTTAAAACATTTAGTAGCATCAATTGGTTCTCATGGCACCACCTTCCAGACATCCATTTACTGCATATATACCTGTAACCAATTTCAAGTTCTGTTGAAGCTTGACATGAAGCCAAACTTGGTTTCTCCAATTCATCACAAGCTTAAAAACTTTGTTAGATGACCTTAAACCAATTCACACTAACTAAACAATGCCACTTTTGAACCTTTTGTAGCAAATGCTTACAGTGATGTAAGCAAATTAAAAGTATGACAGAAAAACTTAATGAATATTTATAATTAACCTTTTAACAGAAAGAAGTTATTCATGGCAAATTAGTTAACTTTTATATTACTGAAAATGTATTATACACTCTAGAGGGAATACACAAAACTGTTTGCAAGTAGTATAGGTACCAGCTGAATTTACAGGGTAATTTTTAAGTACTGTACTTTTAATATAAGCCATGAAGCAGCAGCAGTCTATACTCTGTATGCAAAGAGTCACACTACTTGCCAGCAAGTGTACTTGAATTTTTGCCATGCCCAGTAAGACACCTGCAACATTATAGGCAAGATAAATACTTAGTTTGGTGAATGAATTTATATAAAGTACAGGTATCAATATCAAAACTAAGCACTAAATCTGGAGGGGTCATAGGTATTGATAAAAATTTAAAATGTTATTTAAATGAGTTAATTACAAAAAGGTGATGTACCAGGCACACTGATGAATGAAAATGTATTAAAAATTACAGTGATTCAATATGCAATAATAATCTGCTGAGATGAGGAGTTGCATGATTATTAAAATCTTTTAATGTATGAACTTGGTGATGGAAGAGATCCAGTTGATCAAGATTAAATATAAGACAGCAATGTTAGGTGCAACCTTCAAAAGATCCAAGACCCAGTGATTCAATATTAATTTGGTAAATGTTTTGTGAATCCAATACAATACTGAACCCAATCTAAGTCTGCTGGGGGTATTTTAAGAGACGCCAAAATAATTTGCCAGCTAGAAATATTCCATCTTAAAATATCAATATAAACTCAACACTTATCAAATACATGCACCCAAAAAATAACCCTGCTACTGACTCATCTATACAAACAAGTTGTCAGTGCATGCAGATCTTAAGATGGCTAACAACCAATATTAGAGGTACTAAAAAATTAGATGCGAAGTCTTATATTTGAGCTCAATTATCAGTGATGTTGGGATGGTCATAACTACCTTTAAAACATGGTCTTAGTAAAAGGTTTACAACAAATGTATCCATGTACATTAAAATCTACACATAGGATATATTTGGTACACAGCAATTAATACAGTGCTACAATGGATGCTAGAAACTGTAAACATGTTGACAAATGGTGTTATAGTACACTGCCAACAAAGTTTCTTGAACACTGTATTATCGAACCTGCAACTTCTTCATGCAAGTGATAACTTGCTATTGAATGTATTAAAGTAATGCCCGATTGTTACACCTGATTATGAAAGCAATACTACGTTAGTAAATTTCTAAATGTTCTGATTACAGATCTATAACCATCAAACAATAAAATAATCCTATCATCTTATAATATTGCATACATTTCACACAAACATATTTCCTTTGGAATAGGCGTGTGTCCAATGATAAAAATTTACGCATTTAGAAGATAAATCAGATTAGAAAACTAAGTTTGCTCCATCTGTTTGGAGTTCCACGACGAGATCCTCCAATGTGTGGCGATCTAAAAGCTGATGATGAAGATGGAGTTGCAAGCCGTGAAACTGTTGCACTCTTCGGTGATCGCCGTACAGAGCGATTACCACTGTGTCGGGGAGAACGACGTATAGCTATCCGAGGTAATGTCTTAGGAGTTTTGGGAAGGCCTGGGGGAGGGTGCCGAGGAGATGGATGATGTATCAATGGAGTTTTCTTGGTTCCATGAACTGCTGAACTCCTCATGTTCTCCCTCTCACTGCGCCGCTGGATACCATCCTAAAGATCCACAAAAATATTAATATTTAAGAAATGATAACACACTATATTAAACAAGTACATGATTTCAACTATGTGCATATGCATATATAATCCATTAAAGTATACCGATGATAAAGAAATTAAGTCTTGAAAACTATAATGTATACCATATAAATGCAAAAATAAAAAATTACCAAAAAGTAAACTCTTTCCCCTTCAAATTATTATTTCACTGATTCGTATTCAATTATTAAATGATTCAAAATAACATAGCTACTAAAGTATATAGCTAGTATACAAGGAAACTAGCTACCTAATACATGCCAAAGAATGTCTTGAAAAATTCAAAGTAGATGCATCAAATGAATTAAGAATGGAACTTATGTTATACACATTAGGAGCTCTACACTTACTGCATAAAGTTTGTCTATTAAATCATTAATAAAATCCATTAACAGAAGAATGCTAATACCAGCCCATTTACTCATCCAAGCTAAGATACTAAATACGTAAAGTGCATGTTGCTGAAACTATGGCCGATAATTGAAAAAATTTATTATCCTTTATATGAAGCCAACCGATCTTTTAGAAAAAGCTTTTAATATCACATAATTACCTATTATTCTAGGTAGTAGGCTGGTAGACAGCAACCGCCCAGGGAGGTACTACCATCCTGCCAAGCGAGTAAAACGGAAGCCTGTGTACTTGTTTTACATGATAGTAGGATTGCTTGTGTCTTTTCTCCGTCTCATAAACATGCAAGATTTCAAGTAAGTCTTGCTACTTTTACTTACACTTAGATCACACTACACATGCATGTACAAGCATAAATATACACTCCCCTCTGGGTTTTCTTTATTTTCTTACTAGTTCTTACTCTTGTTTATTTCCTCTCATCTCCATGGGGAAGTGGAACAAAATTCTTCCTCCGTAAGCCATGCGTGTTGTAAGAGGTGACTAAAATGCCAGGAGCAAGGGGCTAGTAACCCCTTCTCCTGTATAAATTAAATTTAAAGAGAAACTTTCGTTTTTCTTTCTGGGCCATCCTGCCTCGGTGGGATAAGGCCGGTTTGTTGAAAGAATAATAATTACCTACTATATCACTTATAACAAAAAAAAGGCACAATACCTCTACTACTACTACTACTACTGATGAAATTAAGACACGTGCGGCATCTGGGTGTCTTTGTTGTGGACGTTTCGCCATCCAGTGGCTGGCTGGATGGCAAAACGTCTACGATAGAGACGCCCAGGTGTTGCTCATGTGTCTTAATTTCATCTTGTTGGTATTATATACCATTCTTGTACTACTACTACTACTACTACCACCACCACCTCTTCCTGCCTATATATAGCCGTCCTGCTCCACTTCTGGTTAATGTGACTTTGTAAATGGTCCAAGTCGGACCGAAACGTCGTCGTAAGCTTCTCTCTTTTATGTGCAGGTTATTTGTGTACTATATCACTTGTGTGTCAGTAGTAAATTAAGAGTCTGCAGTTCAAAAGTCAATATTCTTTTTTACAGTTAAGGAAGCTCTGCTATAAAGAATTGCTAAATAGTGAAATGTACAACTATATAAAAAGCTTTTCCTACAAAATACAAGAATAAGATAAGGATATTATAAGCTACTGATATTACAAGACATTAAAAGTCAATCTGTTATATCAGTAAAGCATCATTCAAATACAGTAGAAGCTACTGGCAGACAGTGTGGGCAGAACGATTTACAACCAGTGTACTGACAATATTTTAGCTGCAACAATTTACAACTGTCCCACAAATTAGAGATGAAACTCTTAATGTCCAAGACAGATCAAAACATTCATAGTTCCATTCTCAATTTGTATATCTGTGAATTATACTGTGATACAATCTAAGTAACAGCACTGTACCACATTTTACACAAATGTTATTAATGCCTTAAAAATATTACCATGTAAAAAATAATCTACATCTGATGTACCAACCAAGATCAACTTCAAAACATCTGTTCTAACATGCGTATTAGCTAAAAGTAGCACACTCGCCCTACAAAGTATTAAAACAACTATAATTTAGCAAGCATAATTGAAGAGAGGTAGGTACGTTAATTGCAATATCCAAGGAGGCACTACTGCCCTCCCATGATAGTGAAATGGAAGCCAGTTAAATGTTTTACATAGACATGATTGCTTGTTTGTGTTTAATGAACCTACAAGGTGGCTTGTAAATTGTGTTGTATGAACCTACAAGATGGCATGTAAATTGTGTTGCGTGAAAATACAAGGTGGCTTGTAAATTTTTACAAATATACATTATTCTCTTTACCTTTAATAGACTTTTTCTTCCTTAATATATTAGTTCTTACCTACCACTGTACCATTTTCTTTTCAACTACATAGGAAAACAGCTAAGAATGTTTTCCTCTTTAGCCATGAATATCTTAATAGTACAACTAATATCCAGGCTGGTAATCCACGTTTTTCTATGCTACTAAAAAAAAAAAAAAAGCAGCACTAGGATTGTATGAACGTACATGGATATAGTAGTTTTTTTTTTTTTAATATGGTGGCAGTTTCCCACTGACGCAGGGTGACCCAAAAAAGAAAAATCCCAAAAAGAAAATTTTTATTATAATCAAAAAGAAGCGCTAAGCCACAAGGGCTATACAGCTCTGCAAGGTAGGAAAGGAAGCCAGGGTATTGGGTGGCAGAAGGAGGGAGGGGCAATCAGGTTACAGAAAACAGCGGGGCAGGGGATATTGCAGGGTAGAGGGTAGCAAGAGATCGAGGTAGAAAGGGCTGAAGGTATTAGAGTTTGTGAAGTAAGTCAGTTGTTGTCAAAAAGTCAATGAGAGAGTCCGGATGAAAGGTGGGTCCATCAGCGAGAAGGGAAGGTAAAGAGAGAGCAGCGGAGCGAAGACGACGTTGGAGGTAAATTCTGCACGCTCGTTGATAAAGTGGGCAGTCTAACAGAATGTGGCTGACCGATAATGGAACCTGACAATTCTCACAGAGAGGAGCAGGGCGCCTCTCCATGAGATATCCATGAGTAAAACAAGTATGGCCAATGCGGAGATGGGAGAGAGTAGTCTCCCAACCTCGGCACTGGTGACAAGAAGACGGCCAGTAACCTATACTCGGTTTAATAGATTAAAGTTTGTTACCGAGTAGAGTAGACCAACGTTGTTGCCAACGGGTGTGAAGGTGGGTAGCTATTGCACCAAAATAGTCCGTAAATGGAACACCTCTATATGAAACTGGTAGGTCATGTACTGCTGTGTCTGCCTGTTCATTGCCCTGTACGTCAACATGACCAGGGACCCAACAAAAAACAATATCTTTATGCTTGGTAGAGATGCGGCGTAGCCAAAGTTGGATATGGAGGACTAAGGGGTGAGGTGTATCAAATTTCTGTATAGCCTGTAAAGCACTAAGGGAGTCTGAGACAACCACAAATGATGACACAGGCATAGATGCAATACGGATAAGTGCTGCAAGAATGGCATACAATTCAGCAGTAAAGATACTAGCCGATGATAGTAAATGCCCTTGTACAACGTTGTCCGGAAACACTGCTGCGAATCCTATGTCGTCAGAAGACTTAGAGCCATCTGTGTACACTGCAATGGCATGAGAATGAGAGTGGAAGTGGTCAAGAAAAAGAGAGCGGGAAGCGACCGTAGACAGTTGGGCTTTCGAGCAAGGGAGTCAGAAAGAACAGACTCGAACAGCTGGAACTTCCCAGGGGGGTAGGGAAAAGTGAGATGCTACATGAACATAGAAAGGTGGAAATTGAAGAGAAGACAAGAGCAAATGTAGGCGAAGAGAGAAGGGACGGAGCAAACAGGGGCGGCGAACAAATAATGTCTAATAATATCGGTGACCATTCTAGAAATGGAAGGATTGCGGAGATCATGAGAGCGTACATAGTAGCGAAGGCAATGGGCATCACGGCGATCGGATAAGGATGGAACGTTCACTTCTGCATAGAGGCTCTCAACAGGGGAAGAGCGAAAAGCACCAAGGCATAAACGTAATCCTTGGTGATGAATAGGGTTGAGGCTAGACAGAGTAGCGGGAGAGGCAGCTGAATAGATCTGGTCACCATAGTCAAGTTTCGATAAAATGAGGGTGGAATGTAGGCGAAGGAGAGTTCGACAATCAGCTCCCCATGAAAGATGAGCAAGGGTTTTAAGAAGGTTCAGCCAGCTGTGACAAGTTGTCTTCAGAGAGGTAATGTGAGGTTTCCAGGATAACCTATGGTCAAAGAGGAGGCCTAGAAACCTGACTATCACATTCAGGAATACGGGTGCCATAGAGGTATAAAGGATGATCGGAGATGACAGAGCGTCTAGTGAAAGTAATTTGGAGAGTTTTGGTACTGGAAAAATTAAACCCATGTGTGGTGGCCCAATTGGAAACACGGTTGACTGCTGGAGAGAAACTGTAATGAGGCGACAGTCAGCGCCTGCACAGGCAATAGCGAAGTCATCAACATAGAGTAATGACCAAATATTGGATGGAAGACTAGAGTCCAAATAATTTATAGCAAGGAGAAAAAGTGTTGTGCTCAGAACACATCCCTGGGGGACACCTTCATCTTGGATAAAGTCCGGGGAGAGCACATTATTAACCCGAACACGGAAATGTCTGTCAGTTAAAAAGTTCTTAAGGAAGGATGGTAGATTGCCTCGGAGGCCTAAGGAGTGGGCTTGGGCCAAAATATTATACCTCCAAGTTGTGTCATATGCCTTCTCAAGGTCAAAAAATATGGCAATAACTGAGTGGTTATTCGCAAAGGCATTACGAACATATGTATCCAAGCGTAGTAAGGGGTCTATGGTAGAACAGCCTTTACGAAAGCCATATTGACGAGTGGAGAGACTGTTGTGCGTCTCTAAATACCACACTAAACGTCTATTTACCAGGCGTTCCATCACATCGCAAACTGCACTGGTAAGAGCAATGAGACGATAGTGGGAGGCTTCACGTCCCGTAGTACCCGGTTTGCGGAAAGGAAGAACAATGGCAGATTT